GAACTAACAATTATAAATAATCTTATTATAAAAAAGTGGCCAATAATAAGAGTGATTGCAAATTACAAAAATGCAAAATAAGTGAAAAGTAGCTCACCTTTTGCGTCAGTAACTGTAATATCAACATCAGATTCTGGTACTTATCAGTGAATATTCCATTAAGCAGGAGAGCCAAAGCATCTAAGAGATAGTAGACGAACATTTAATGACATATGAAAGAAGTGAAAAAGGTAAAACGACAATACGCGTTATGAAGCAAAGATATAACCTTTTTTATTCACCAAGTCGCGAATAATCTGGTTGGAGTTTGTAAAAAAGAAAGCGGATATGAGGTTCACGAAGCAAGTACGCACATCATTATCATCTTTTAGATTCCGGTTTCGGGAACATAGCGAAAAGCTTTGCACCCCGAAGTCCAAACTTCGCAGCAGATCATGTGCTGCCTCGATGCTGACCGTTGGTATACAGGCTAGAAGTGAAAGAGCTGACTTAACTGCCTCAACCGATTTTGTGAGAAGTATATGCGTGAGAATACGCAATCGTTCAGGTGCCAACAGTGCCTCGGTAAGGGTTCGCGCGATAGGAGCATGTTCCTCGGCCAAGTCAGTGGAAGTGCGAACAATCAATATTGAGAGCAGTCTGAAAATTAGCACGAGCTAGAAAACAATAAGGTGAAATTGTATAAATAGCAAGGATAACTAGCAACTAAATGAATAAACAACGCCGAAAATCAAAAGCATAATGAATATATACACACATATAATTTTATATCTGCGAATGTTAAAAATGCAAACAAATAATATTTGGATGGGTAAAATGCCAACTAAAGTGATATCAATGTGTCTTACCCATACCCAGAATTAAGAACAACTCAACATACAAAAATTACATATGAAATGCATTCATCCTGTTTTGTGGATAAGGGACTGATAGTTGAACTTTCCCACAATCATATGAATAAGCCTTATATTTCCGTTTGATTTCAAGGTCTTGCTGCTCAAGAGGTTTTCCCACTCAAACAGGAATAGACTGCAGTTTCAACCTCACTTAGGTCTCATCAGCATCCTCTGTAAGATTAGGGCCCTGACAATGCAGCGTATACTATCGAAACAGCCACTGCGCCGACGAGTGACCTTGGGTCACAAGGTGGATGTGAATTTGAAGAATGGCCAGGCCATTTCACACAGCACATTCTGTGGCGGGATTATTGATGAAGTAGTATCGAAAGTCTACTCAAGAAAAAATCATATTTGCCTTAGCAATTGATTAAATTACTTGCTATTGTCTATAAAAAGGTTTCGAGACTACCAGATCATATATACTCTATAAACGATAAATAAATAAGAACATGGATTGCTATAGCCAATACATTACTTTATTGACAATACTACCACAGAATGTAATACGAGAAAAGGACCGACTTGCCTTGAAATTCGCATCTTGACTGTGACCTAAAGGAAGTCGTGGCATTGTGGTGTAGCGACTAATGCTTCGAGATTATGTGCTGCACTGCCAGGTTTCGAGTCCCCCTGTGGGTGCTGATGAGACCTAGGCGAGATGGAAACTAGTCAACTCTTGTCATGATGAGAATACCTTTTGGGAAGTAAGGCTATGTGAAATCCAACGTAAATTTAAGGCATATTCGTATAATCGTGAGAAAAAATACAGCCACTTGTACTTCATTATCATAGACGAAGTGGGGTAGACATATGGTAACCTTAAAAACGTACTTTGGAGCAAAAAAGATGAAAAGATGAGGCTAGCATACGGACCATAGATATGAAGACCAAAATGGTGTGGCCTTCTTTTGGTTGGAGAAAGTTGAACACATCGTCATTACCGGCCAAACGATTAACTGGAATGCAACAGAAAGACTCGCCTTATATGCGGAAGCACCAGAAAACGAAAGACCAGGGAGGCTATGGACATTCTCTTTCAAAGAAATCTGATGAATAGAAGATTGGAGGGAAGTCAGCGATAATTTAGCGTATTGCCTGAGCAGACTTGGAGACTCAACAAATACGTCAATAAGAAGACGCCTGGACCCAGGATAACTGTTAAACAATAAAAAGAGACACCACCAAGGAGCGGCTAATGAGGAACAAAGATAAGTCAATTAGAGGCGACTGCAGTGTGAGTCAGACGTCTAATTGGCCCAAAAATTTACCCAGGTGCTTGACCTGTGAGATGTAAAAAATGAAATTAAAGACTATGTATAGATGGGCCAGATAGAGGTCACCAGTGTGTGTATTTTTCGCAGCTGTGTCTGAAGGGGAGGGGACTGGAGACAGGCTTAACCATGGAGGACACCAACTAACACATACATCAACATTATCCCAGTACCCTAGTATTATAGGGGAATGTAAAATAAATATACGAGAATGATAGGAATGAAAGGCTCTTAGACAGCTAGATTTCTGACAGTCAAACAGCGATTTTGAGGTTTAGCAGCGGCTAATTGACAAGCGTGTAGGAAAGAAAGAAAGAGGCAAAATGTATGCTAGGAGCCCTGGAAACGGCATCTGGTACTGGTGGTGATAAATACGCTTCACTAAGTCGACTTGTAGCGAGATTATTAGATGAAAGTAATGTGTGAATAAATAGATAAGCTATATAAAGTTGGAATGAGAGAACAAGATGAGGCACTAAAGGTAGAAAAAATAAGGGCGAGTGATGTCGCAACGACTAGACAGAAAATTCGTCAAGAGGATTGCCTTCACTTGTCACTTTGATAATTTGTAACTCTGTGCTTACGGTGGTGCCTATCACTGACGATGCAGGTTAAGCGTTTGGGAATTTACCCAGCCAATGTTCCAATGTTGGAAAGCATGAATACTATGGCAAAGGACACAAAACTAGGTGCGTTTCATAGTCTCCCTGACGCTCCGACCAAGTTGTAAAAAAAGGTCGAACCAATTTGCTTAAGCTCTAACACATCACTTATAAATCACTTGTACAAGATTTCTCGACTTTTGTGAGCTCGGAAATATCAACGTGAATAGTGACAAGTGTCTCGAGATGCGTAGCTTAAATTCTTACTCAAATGTAACTCATGGCAGTTGGCCTGATTGGTTGATTAAGGAACTATGGAAGACCAAGTCGAACGTGAAAGCTCTGGTGAATACTAAAAAGTATTTGGCTTACCGATAAATAACTCTGACAGAGATTGCATTATCTTCTCCACAAAAAAGATTCACGTCTTAAGAGGTTAACTCTTTTGAAAATAAATATATTATTCTCTTATACATTTATTTAAATGTCTTCCCTAATATTCATTCGGAAGACTGGGAGCCGAACTTGGCTAATTATAACAGTGATCATGTGTGTTCTCCATAATGATAATAATATAAGGGTCTTATTTAGGAATTTAGCCTTAATTGGTAACATTGATTAATTAATTTACTTAATTAGAATGGGAAATAACGAATAGTCTGGCAGACACGGGACTAGGTACGTTAGACGGGGTCAAACCAAACCGAAATTACGGACTCCTCCCATGACAAAAGCTACATGTAATGGACAGAATTCTTTTTAAATCAATGCGTTAACCTAAATATAGTTAGAAGAAGTACAAGTAAAATAATTCAGAGTAAATAAGCCTGATGTATGCGCACAATTTTAAAGGTTGCAATACCCAAATTTTGACTCGATCTCACCAAAAGACGAGTGAATATGCATTTGAAATAGGTAAATAGTAAAAGGATGTCGCAATAAAATAAATATGATAGAATGACTTGGAATTTATGTAAAATCTTAATGTATAGTAGAAGAGCAGGCACGCAGCTACCTCGCTTGGCTTCCTTTTAAATTTGCTATCGAGAAGAGCAATCAATCCTGAAGCATCTGTGAACTGAAGAAATTTTTTAATCAAATCCTCATCAGAGTTATCAAGTAGCTTTAAGAAATATTGCATAACTAAATTCCTGACTGGGAAGCACATGATTACCAGAAAAATCCTTCTCCACTAGACTAAAATCGATAACATCCCTTTTATTTTTTTCCGCAGGAATCGAGCAATTTAACTCGTCACTTTTTCTCTTGGACATGTCTGGAGGAGATGAACGGGAGAGATGTAACCACGCTCGAGAGAAGGTTAATTTAGGCGCGTTAAAAAATTAAATACTAAATTCTTTACATATTGTATCTTTTAGAAGTACAAAATAACTTTTTGCCTTAATTTTTTTTTAATTATTAAAAATTATTTTATTTAATTGATTTAAAAAAATTATTTTATACTTTTTGGCATTTAGTCTTTTTATTACTTTTTAACGCGCTCTACTCATCAAGACATCTGGTTGAGCTACATATCTAATGCCACTCATTCGCTGTTTATGAATACTTGGGTCCTTCGTATTACCTAATGGCCCAGCGTTTATTTCACTCTTTTAGAAGGCTACCTGGGCAGCTTTCTGCT